AAGCTGTAAACTGTAAGAACAAAGTCAGATGAAAATTTCTTTGCTTTCCAAGAAGTTGGTAAAGGTGTGTGATTACATTTTTTCACTCCCAGACTGTTGATGTATTTCACTCCCAGAATATCCTGGGCCTTCAGTATATTTTCCTCCTTTCTTTCTCTTCTACAGACATATCAACATGCTCTCATTTACTTTCATTGATTCCTTTAATGTTGTAATGACCTACTCTGTCCTTTCTAGAACTGAATTTTCTTCAAGGCTCAAAACAGTTTGATTTTTTTTTATTGGTCTTGATTCCTTGGGGTGTTGGGATGGGGCCACTCAAAGGCTGGGTTACTTAGGGTGGCACAAGTTCTTCCCTCCCCTAGGTTCAGAGAGGTTAAATCTGTCTTTATCCAGCACTGCCCCACTAGGAACAGGGACCACCTTGAGGTCTTTCTTTGTTCCTCTCCTTCTTTCCACTGACTCAGGAGATCCAGGTAGGTAAGCAGGGTTTGCCAGGGATGTGCCCCTTGGAGAACACACAAGATAGGGAATCAGGTGTTGTTAACAGGGGCCCGAAGTGACAGGACAAGGGGAAATGGCTTCACACTGACAAGAGAGCAGGTTTAGATTGGATAATGGGAAGAAATTGTTCCCTGTGAGGGTGGAGAGGCCCTGGCACAGGTATTCCAGAGAAGCTGTGGCTGCCTCATCCCTGGAAGGTCAGGTTGGATGGGGCAGTCTAGTCTAGAGGAAAGTGTCACTGCGCATTGCAAGGGGTTGCAAATGGGATGATCTTAAAGGTTGCTTCCAGCCCAGACCATTGTGTGATTCTACAATTTACACAGTTCCACTCATCAGTATGGGAGTATTTAAATGGGTTGGGTTTGAATTGTGTGAGGAACAACCATAAATGATGCTATATTCTGCTACAGTTACCCACAAAATATGTTGTCTGCTGTTGAAATGGCAGCATTTGGTTGTTTGGTCCTAGCTTAAGGGAGCTTCAAAATATGAGGCCAAATTTCAAAATTTAGTTTTACAGGTATTTTCCCAAAGCATTACCACTGTTCTTGCTCAATGAAAGCAAACAAAGGCATAACATCTCTCTGTCTGTCTGGCAAATACAATCCCATAATAGAACCTTCTAGTTTCTCTTGGTGAATTGTTTTATGTTGCTCTAGAATATCTTTAATGACTGAGTTCCTGTATACTTACTCAGTACCTTTTAACACTCCTAAACTTGTGTTCATGCTACATGACTTTTTCAGGCTTTTGCTCTAATTTTTCATTTATTAGAGTTATTTTGAAAGTGATCTGGACTAAAAAGATTGTGATAATCTACCAGTGACTCCATCCTGTCATATAAAACTATTTTTCCTTGACAAGCATCCTATTAATAGGGCAGTCTAAACAGATCCTTGGTGTGAATGACAAACTCTTCCCTAGATTTCTCACCTCGTGCATCCTATGTCACCGTCATAAGAAATAGAGGGTTTTAGTCCTTGATTTCTAATAATTAACCCTTTTGCAGCAGGGAACAGCTGGGTTCTCTGTTCTGCTCATTCCACATTTGCATCTGGCTTTGGGGCAGCAGCTGGGTTATTCCAATTTTTATTTGTGAAAACCTTCCTTCCCATCAGTGTGAACTGCTTAGCTGCTCTGCTTGTGTTCAGGGTGTTAGCATAAGGATGTTCAAGGAATTTTCAGTGGGTCTTTGCCTTCACTGAAAGTGTATGGCTTATTTTTTTTGAAAACTCCTTTGGTCTGTCAAATCTGGGATAGTTGCTATGGTTCTAATTTTTTTTTAAAAAATACATTCCATGTGTTTGTCATGCATGTTTGTAAAATTTTATTATCACGTTTGTTCTAAATCAAAGGGAAATTAAGGAGAGATGGGTTTACATTATTTATTCTTATCAAACTGGATCATTTTCTACAGAAGCTTAATTTGATGGATAGTAGATACACATGTGTATGTTTGAGGCAAATCCTGGAGACCACTCTCAAAGAAAATTCCACTGTCAACATGAGTTTTGCCTGAGTAAATATTTCATATTTTGGCTCTTTGTTTTCAGAATGGGAATTATTGTTTTCTACTTGGAGCACTCATTTGGCCTCGCAGTACCTTGGCTCACATGGTTTTCAATAAGTGTACTGGCAACTTCCAGCATCCTGGTTTTCAGATCTATCTCTACATGGACATTTGGCCTTTGTGAAGACATCACAACTATTTCTAGCTTGCTGTCCTAAGTGTAGGACTCTTCCCATTTTCAGACAAAGAATTTATTCTGAACCACACTCTTTTTACAGCTGAGTGGAATTGTCCCTTCACATCCATGGATACATGGGTCAAACATCCCTAAGTCTGGACTGCAAAGAAATATTTGGTGCAAAGTAGTCATAAAAGGAATATATACAAAATGCATTCCAGAGAGCTCTTTGGTCTGTTCAGTCAAGGGTAAGATGACTTGGCAAATTCAACGAAGACAGATCAACTACTATTCCAGTCCAGGTGTAGGTGTATGGAAGGCAGTTAAAAGGATACTGAAATGTCTTACTAGGAAAGTTAAACATAATTTGGCCAAATTGGAACAGAATATGCTCTCAGAGCAAAATTGTCAATAGCCAAAATTAATTTAGTGTACAATGTTTTGCTTGGCATTTATTTTCTTTTATTTCACCTAGTTTTCATTCAAATCAGTTTTCAAAAGTTGCTCTGATCTCTGGAGACTGCTCCTCATGTCTCAGAATACTTTGTTTAGCAGAAAGTAAGAGGAAAAAGGAAGAAAACAAATTCAGGTCTGAAGTAGCATAGTTTATCTAGATCTTCTCAGTTTCTTACAGCCTCATTTATCTCCTTTCCCTGCTTTGACGAAGCTGTCTCCTCTCATGTAGCTACCCATGCCAGATATCTTCATCCTTTCTTCATTTAAGTCTCAAGATGTTTGTCACATCCAACCTCTGAATTTTTATATAAGGAAGAATCGTAGCAAATAATGCAAATCAACACAATCCAGTAAAAATTTAAGAAGCATCAAGATACAGGTGTTGACTGCAGCAACTTCAAATGCCTTTTGTTGTATCTTTGTCTTTTTCTCATCCTGCTTACCACCATTTTTGCTGCTGATCAGCTTTTTTAGTAATGTTAGAGTTTACCTGTGCCTTACTGTTTCTTGGAGTTCTGCGTGTCATCCAGAAGAGGGATCAGAGGGATGGAGAACCTCTCTTACAAGAAAAGGCTGGAAAGCATTGGGATTGTTCAGCCTGGAGAAGAGAAAGCTTTGGGGTGACCTCATTGTGGCCTTGCAGTGCCTGAAGGGAGCCCACAGGAAAGATGGAGAGAGACTCTTGACAAGGACCTGGAGTGACAGGACAAGGGGCAATGGCATCACACTGACAGAGGGCAGGTTTACATGGGATATTGGGAAGAAATTGTTCCCTGTGAGGGTGGAGAGGCCCTGGCACAGGTTTCCCACAGCAGCTGTGGCTGCCCTATTCCTGGCAGTGCTCCAGTGGATGGGGCTTGGAGCAGCCTTGTGTAGATACCCAGAAAAGAAGTGTCTGCTGAGTGTCTCAAACACTGATACTGGGGTAGCCACGGAGCCAACTGAGGTTTGTTGGTAGACACAGGCAAGGGCTGTTGGTACCAGCATGCCAGGAGGAAGAACCAAATGGGACTGGTGAAGGGGGACATGTGGAGGTAGTGCAGCACTTTTCTGGAGCAAATATCTTGGTCAAGTCCACAGAGGCACAACTAAAAAGTGCAGGAATGAGGCCAAGAAGTGGACATGGACTGTAGAGGGGATCAAGACCACCCAAGACCCCTGAAAGCTCCTTGTCCAGTTCCAGAAAGGTCTGAAAGGATGGAGGGTTCAAGATAACTTATTTGACGGGAAAGCAAGAAACTTACCTTCAGGGGAGAAACCCATCCCTAAAAGGGAAACACGCAGCACTCCTAGGTGGCACCCCTTAGGATCCTGGACACCTCATTACCCCATCAGGAATCAACACTGGAATTAGGGCTGCTCATCTCTTTCTCTCTCTCTTATTAATCTCCTTTTCTCTCTTCCCTTTCATCTCATTCTTTTATCCAAAGCCCAGTGCCATGTTCTTTTATAGTAGGTTAGGGATTACACACCCATTTCCATGCAAAGTGTGTAATTAATAATTACATTTTTCTGATTGTTTGCAAGACCCTGTGACTTTTGCTATTGCTTGCGACCAAAAGCATTTACTCATCACAGTGGAAGGTGTCCCTGCCCGTGGCAAATGGGTTGGAATGAGATGTAAGGACCCTTCCAACTCAAAGTATTCCAAGATTCAGTTATTTAAATGATACTTTATCACATACTTTTTGAATGCATTAGGAAAACCTCACTATCAGGATAAAAAAATATTTTGGAGGTGTTACTGTGTTTATATTCTCACATGCAACAGAGAATAGTGAGGGTTGTGTCTGCTGTGGTGAAAATGTTGTGTCAGTTCCATGTAGGCCCCCTTTTATTGCTCATGAAGATTTATTAATTTAGAATGGATTTTGTTCTCTCCATGACTATCAGATTAATTAAAAAATGTTAATAATCCATTATTTTGGATGGGGCTGATATGCAAGGGTTCTTATTATAGTAAAGAGGGGTGCTATAGGACCACTGCTGTAGGAATAGTCTTTTTTTTGTGGGAGATATCAATCCAAATTCCAGCTCTGCGTGGATTCAGAACTTGGTGGGAATGAGGACATGCATGATACTTTTCTCTTTTGTGAGCTGCTCACTTGAAAAGCCTGGTAAATTTTTTTCATCTCATTTAATTTATGCTCTAATTTGGGAGAGGAAAATATATTTTGCAAGGGCACATTGAAAGGTTATTGATTAGGGAAGCTGGGCCAGATCTGACAGCCTAGTCCAAAAGGCGTGTGGAGTTGAATCATCTTGATGGTTTTGTTTGTAAATATGACCAAAAATTTTGGGAATTTTCTCCTAATCATAATAGCATTTGTTTGTTTGTTTCTGTCTTTTCAGGAACATCCCAGGCCAGAGTATGAAACCAAATTGCTGCAGAAAAAGCTGAAAAATAAAAACATTACAACAGAAAGTTCAAACGAGGTGAGGTGCACCTTATCTTTTAATTTACGTGGGATTTGTGTTTAGTTATGTTGTGATTATATTTTTGTCTGTCTCTCAGAGGTTACAAAAGGCACTTTTTGGTGATGTTAATTAGCCTTTTGAGTTGGTAGGTGGCCATGTGCTGAAATGTAGGCCTGCAGTGCCATTCCAGGGCTTTGAGGTCATGTCTTTCAAAGTAAAGCAATTTGCATAGAAATGGGGTTGACAGGTGGTTCACGACCCAATCTGTGGAGTATTGCCTGATTCCCAAGAGAATCACTACAGAATTCTTATAGCAATCCCTCCTCCCTCAGAATGTCAGTACTTTCTGCACAATGGAGAAAGCAACTTTTATTATGGTGATTTCAATTGCAAAGGTAACCTCAGTGACTTTAGTGCTGCTGCAGTTAAACTTCACAGTTGTGAAGTTTTAATGACATTTCCAGGATAAATTGAAAAATAGTTGGTAGATAATTTTCAGACTGAACAGGGTTCAGGATTTTTATGTCTATTTCAAACTTTTTTGAACAAGACCTTTTTTATCAATCTCATCTTGTAAATTGTTGACTGAGGTCTATTTTCTAAATATTCACAAGTTCTGTAGTCTTGGTCCATTAGGCTTGGTTAACCATTGCTCTTTCCCTGCATTCCACATGTGCCAGGAAAGTCAAAGCATTCCAATACCATGTTCAGCTTCCAGGGAGAAAAAATCAGTTTAATTTGATTATAGGTTGAGAATCAGTATCCGAAGTGGAGAATTTTCAAGTTTTCAGGTTTGGTCCAACAAATTTAGCTTGTGGCAGAACTACATTATCCCTTTCTTCTGCTGACCACCATTGTAAAGTGTTTCCAGGGAATCTTTCATTTCAGTGAGCCTGCCTGTTACCTGTTGTGCCCAAACAAACGCCACAGCAAAACATGGAAAGATTCTCAATAATTGTAGTGGTGGTTTTGATCTTGCCCAAGAAGCAGAGACTCACAGAGCACTGTGGGGTATTACACATTGTACAGCTCCCTTGGGCTTTCAAGTGAGGAATCAAGGACTGTAAAAGTCCAATAAAATAGTTGCTCTTCAGCTTTTGTTGTTTTGGCTTAAGGTAAATGGGAACCGGAAACAAGTCAGCCATTGATGCTGCAGAATATTATGATTATCTTGCTTATCTGAGATACAGAAATAATTATAAATTAGATATTAATTTAAGGTAAAACAAAAAGAAACATAAAAAAGCCCCAAACAAAAATCCCCCAAAACACCAACCAAATGAGAAAATCCCACACCAAAAGCCAAAAAACAACCCAAGGAGAAATGTTAAGTAAATAGGTGGAAAACAAGGAACAATGTAAGATCCAGCACTACAAAACTAGGAAAAACTCCTTTCAGACATCAAGAATGAAGTCTAACATGGTGTATTTTTTGTCAAATTGCTTTCTGTGCTAATGTGGATGGAAAAAACCCCCAAATTTATGAATTAGTGTTCCCCAAATTACTGAAATATATTCCAAGCAACTGAGCAGTTTTCCATCAGTGAACATTCTAGCTTACTAATTCTGTCCAGAAAACAGCACATTAGTCTGGGTTTGGAAGATGTGTTGCTCAGGCCTTTGTACACGAGTGTCTTATAAAATTGTGAGAACAATAGATGTTGATGTGAGAACTGCAGAAGAGGAAAAAACCTAAACATAACAGTTCCGTTAAACAGTCCTAATGTGGAAAGGCACCATTACATTTTGCTATGGAAGACCTTGAAAAACTAAACATTAAAAGTGGTGAGTATTTAAGATTGCAATAATTATTTAGCCTTATTTTTAGAGATTTCACCCTTTTCTTTTTGCAAGACCATTAGCTCAGAAGATTTTGTGTGGCAGGTTAATATTAAGACACAGGTTTCTGTGAGGTCTCTGGCTCAGTATTTCTGTCTTATTGAGTGGATGCCAGGGTACAGAACTTTGTCATCTTACTAGGGGAGATCTAGCGTCTGGACAGGCATCAAAGTAGAGATGTCTCTGTAGTTAAGGATTCAGTCCTCCTAATTTCTTGGTTTTGTGTGAATACACAGATGTCTGTGAGGTTTCTATCTCCTCATGTTTTGGTTGACAGTCTAATTTCATGGCATAAGTCTCTGTGAAGTTTTCTCCTGAATATTTTTAGCAAACTGTTGTAAATTAAAGGCATATCTTTTTTAGTGTGGCTGGTCAAACACTGTCATATGGAGTTAATATCAAAGGATTGGCTCTGGTACTGCTGCCTAAAATTTCTCATTACTTATCTAACTTCAAGTCAGAAGTCTCCAGCTCAGCAGCTGTGGCTTGTTGGGATAGAAATTATGCCAAAGAGTGGCTATTGTGAGCATACTGGTGTAGAGTTTACTTAAAGGCATATATTTCTATAAAATTATTGGCTTGTTTCCAGTATGTTAATTCCTCTGTTCCAGTGAGGAAGTGACTGATTTTATGGCAAGAAGCAGCTTTTATGTGCAAAGCTTTTTGTACAGTGCATTTTTTTTCCTTGCCTTACTCCAACAAGGAGTTCCTGTGAAGCTAATCGGGTCATTTTTGCAATGAAGGGGACAGGGGTTTGGTTAGCGGCTGCTTTTGTGATTGCAGCAGAAAGGTCACACCACTTACATCCTCTCTTAAATGATAACTTGGGAGTACATGTTCAGAGGAAACCAGCACACAGTTTTTCCTCTCTGCTGTTCAAGTCATTAACTTTAATGAGTGTGGAAGATGCCCAGCACCTGTCAGGCCCAGTAAACATATGAGTCACTCTACCCAGGCAGCAAATTCCAAATCAGCCTGATGAGCCTGGCAAGACAAAGTATGACACATATAATATATTACTTGCCCAGTGGGGGTTGTGTTCTAGAATATAGCTCTCATACAAAACACCACTTGGGTGTGTTTCTGCTACTGGAATAAGAAAAGAACAAAATTTCACCCTCCTCCACTCTGTTCAGGCTGTTTGAATAAATATTTGATTGGTTATTTGGAGGAGTGAGAAAGAAACTGCGAGAGCTCAGAGAGCTTCACAAAAGATTGATGAACAGTAACACTAACTTCTATTATTTCAGGAGAGAATTCATTTACAGCTAAAGGAGTTGAAACATTTGTGTGAAATGTCTCAGGTTAAGTAGCAAATAGATAAATAGACAGTCTTTATGAATTATGACATTGATTTTAGAAAATTCTAAGGGACCGATCTGGGAAATCTGGAATGACCTGTCTTGTAGTCAGTATTACTGTTTAATTCTTTATGGTCACGTGCTATTAACAAGGACATGTAGTGACAGCATAATGTGGAATGAATTCAAACTGACAGAGAACAAATTTAGGTTAAATATTAGGATGAAATTCTTCCCTGTGAGGGTGGTGATGCCCTGGCCCAGGTTGCCCAGAGAAGTTGTGGCTGTCCCATCCCTGGAAGTGTTCTAGACCAGGTTGGATGGGGCTTGGAACAACCTGGGCTAGTGGAAGGTGTCCCTGCCCATGGCAGGGGGTTGGAACTGACTGATCTTCAAGGTCCCTTCCAATTCAACCCATTCTATGATTCTCTGATATAAAGGCTTGCAATGTATAGCTCCTTTATTCATGTACATCAAAAGGCATTTTTGTTCTTGCAGCAGAGATGAAGGATTACACACACATGTATGAATGCATGTATCTGATAATACATTCATGCAAACACAGCAGATGCAAGCTTTGTAATGAAGCAATTAATGGTATATTTTGTTTTTCTTAAATGAACTCTAACACAGAAGATGTGGATAGAAGTCTTTAATGAATAGGGTTAAGTTACTGCATGTGCAGAATGTTAACTGAAAATGTGGTGGATATTTGCAGTCTTCTGAGATGTTCTCTCTCTGCAGTAGTGGAATCCTCAATGGAATTACACAGAGGTCAGGAAATGAAAATTGGTCTTGTGCCTGAAAACATGCAGATGGGGCTAGATCCAACTCTCACTGGAGCTGATGGAAAGCCTTCCAGTCATTTTTGTGAGAGATGACCCTGACTTCTTTTTCATTAAATGTCCAGCTGATCTGGCAAACATGATTGAACGTAACATGTGTGTATATATATATATATATATATATACACATGTGTGTGTGTATGTGTGTGTGTGTGTGTTCTTATCTTTCCTATTTGGCAGGAAAGTGAATAACTCATTCTACATATTTCTCAAGAAAAATTTTCTTTATAGAAAAATAAGGGCTTGTCTTTTGGCTTGTGTCCTGACTTGGAGCAAACCCTAGGAGTAATAGATTCTGGCATTCTGTCTTTCCTTTAATTCATTTTAAATATGATACTGGCAGAATCAATTATTCAAATAGTTAATTCAGCTGGTAATTGAAACAAAAAAGAAATATTTCTTTCTGAACCATCATTTCAGTTAACAACTGAGTTAAAGCAAGCTGATTTGGAGAGGAGGGTCTCTGGTGTAAAGGATGATACAGATAAATAGGAAGTAGAATTGTGCATTGCTAATACTTTATATATCTATTTTTTAAATTTCAACATTGTAAAACATGAAATAAAAATTCTTGCTAGCAGTTGATTACCAATCTTCCGTAAGCAAATCTCCCATAAGGACTAAAAATCCTTTCAGATACTGGAGCCCATTTCTTCCATAAGCAAGTCCTTGATAAGATTAGCTAAAGAAAAAAAAATCTCTTATTATTGTAAATATTAGCTGAAACTCTGTAGAAAAAAACAAGATAATTGGTCATAAATACCAGTTTGAATAATCAAAATTATAAAAGAACTTTAAAGATACCCAGACTTCTTTAATCCCTAGTATTTTAGCATTTATTGAACCATATTATTAGTACAAGAAACCCATCCATTTGATACAATATTTCTTCAACTGGCCAGTGTCTTTCTGGCCTCTTTCATGTCTTTACTTTGAGAAACATCTTTCTAAACATATGAGATAGTAAGATGAGTATGTAATAAATTACTTTTTTTTTTCTTTTCCAGCTTATTTCTTGTATCATTAACTTTTGAAAATAAAAAAATGACTGAATGAAAATAAAAGAATGGCTGAAGATGAATGAGGACACACATGATTCTAATCTTCCACAGAGATCTCTTCCTCTTTTTCATACTTGTACTTGTCATAATTCTGGTTTTTTTAATGTTTATTTGACTTCTAGGCTATGGATGTTTCATACCAGAGTATTCATAAGCAGAATTTATGTCTTCAAAGGAGTGTTGACATGGTCTTTCAATGTGTTATTTAGATGTGAGGGTTCTTTAACTTTAGAGTACATGGCATGTGTTCAAACCTTCTCAGTATTGCTGTCTTGGAATTTGGTTATCGTTGTATGGAGTAGTGGAAGAAATACAGCTAAAAATGTCCCCACTTGCTCTCTGTTCCTCAGAAAATCTACAATGGGATTTCCTCTTTTGTATCAGAGAGATGAACCCAATGTATGGCCACAGTGCTGTGCTCCTGTGTCTACAATTACATTCCAGCCAGACTTCAGTAGGAAATAGCTCTTCCTACACTCTCAATATGAAGTAACAAAATCCTTAAACGTGTATTATTGTAGAATATTCCAAGTTGGGAAGGCTTTTAGGATCTTATGTAGTCCACATAACTACTCCTGTCAAAAAGTGTGATCTCAAACTGTGTTACTCAGGATATTACCTGGTCAGGTTATGGAAATGTCCAAGGATGGAGATGGTAACATCTTTCTGGACATGCCCTGACTGTCCTCATTGTGTGAAAACTTCTCATTATATCCAGCCTGAACGTCTCTGCTTCCAGTTTAAGCCCATTGTCTCTTGTACTTCCAGCATTAACCACGGTGAATAGCCTGGCCCTGTCTTTTGATGAGCTCCTTAACTGTGCTGAGCAAGCCTTGTTCCTCAGTTTCTCTTCCTTGGACACGTTCTCTGCCCTTGACTTACATAAGTAGTGGCAATAATGTCTTCTACTGGAAGGCCCAAACCAATATTTTAGTGTGCTGAAAAGCTGAGGTAATCACTTCCCTGGACCCATGCATTGACACAGCCCACGTGCTATTGGACTTTGCTATCAGGGCATGGTCCTGGCTCTTGTTCATCTTGTTTTCTGCAGACAACAAAGGGTCTTTTCACTAGAGTCAGTTCTCCTCCAAGGAGTTTTCTG